TTCACGACTTGTGATTAACAGAGCCCGACAATGCTGGCTTGAGCGAGGGGTGGCGAAGGTTTTAGTAAGCTTTCGACACGAGAACTGATTAAATTCGTTCTGTTGCAGCGGACTGTGTGATTGCCGACACTACTTACGGGGCATTCATTGATTGCAGTAGAAGCTTGTTGTGATTGATGCTTGGGACGTAAGCCGCGGCTTCGCCGTTGACGAGCCTTCGAAGTTCATGACTCAGGGCAGAAGACTAAAAATAAGCTTCTGTCTCTGCTTCAGGAGCCTAAGTGTCAGTGCAACATGCTCAAGGGTGTCAAGCGCTCGCGGGAAGGTTGAGGCGGCTGTGGGCGCACCAGCGACTGCTCGACATCTGCTGACTTTGTCCTCCTCCTCCAGCTTCAACCTGAAGAGCGGGGGTCTGTTTGCGGCTCTGGATGCAGGCTTCCCCACAGACATCCGATGACATCCGTGCGCCCACCTTTGGCTCTTCGAAGCAACATGGCGCGACCCAAATCCCAGCTGCTTGGCTCCAAGCTGTTCTAAGGCGGCCATGCCGGCTATGCACCTGGGCAGCTAGGGCATCAAATTTCAAACCTATAGAAAAACCAGGGCCTCTGCTATTAGATCTAGCTGTCGAAACGGAAGCATCTCATGATCCCAAGACACGGAACTAAAACAGGCCTGAAGCAGGGCCACGAATTCGAGATGTGAGCTACGACTAGGACGTACATTTCTGGGACCAAGCTACTGGTCAGCAGGGCCTCCCAACCGAACTCCAAATCCGGTCCAACACTGTGCACTTTGCCACGAAGAAACCGGTTGACCGCGACTAGTTGTCGTGGTCTTACATGGGCTTACGTCGAACGATACCCTTGCATCTGGAGCGTGTAAGTACTCGAAATGTCGTGCTTCAATCCAAGGACACATGCACCCTATGTAGCTGCTTCAGCAGCCTCATGTGAAGCTCTGTGGGTGGCACATGGCAGGTTGGCAGTATTTCGTCTCTGCTAACCTTCAGTCAAAGACGACTGACACTTGACAGCAAGAGTAGATCAAAGAGCAAACCTCGACAGCTGTCTGCTTGAAAGCTGCAGTCATGAGTGCTGCTGCTGTATGCGGAGCTATAGGGGCATTGATACGAGCAAGAACAGCAGCACGCACCGACAACACAACAGGAACCGCCATCAACACCATTGCCACGACAACACCTCAGCAGCAGCGGGCCGCGTCGGCAGCGGCAGCGGCACGGCAAAGGCAGCGGCCACCACAACCACAACTGCAACCACAACCACAGCAAAGTAGCAGCAAAAACACCGTCAATAACAATACTGACAACCATCACTGTTACCGCTACTGCTGCTGTTGCTGAACCGCTATGCCGGTTCAACGAAGCGCACAAATGGACACGCATACGCACTCTCGTATGAAAAGAACATTGGGGTTGCTGACACTTTTGACCGGCACTGGCATCATTCAAAAAAGAACGACCGGAACTCTGTGTCAGCTAAAACCTTGGGCAACTACTTGTCCTCCGGACCGTTTTGAAGGATCTCTGCCAAATCCTAGCCGAGAACCTGCGAGCAGCTGCCGCGTCTGCTGCGATGGCCTCAGGCCTCATGGTCTGTAAAGTATACAAGTCTGTAATATTTTCGTGGAGCTCTTACCTGGGATAAGCAGATGACATCTTGAGTCCTGTGCTAGCAGAGAGAACTCGGCAGCAGAACTATCCACGCAGCGAAGCGAATGCCATGAAAAAGAACAAGTGTGCGCGTAACTGTGAACAAACACAGCGACGTGCCTGCCAGAACAGGCTTGGACTCTTGGACATGCGCTTCAGAATCCTGACCGGAGCTGATCAGGCCTGGGAACACCAAGCAAACCGGAAGCGGCTTCGAGGTGTCCTGCAGTGGCTTCATTCGGGCTGGCTTCGGGGTTTTCTGGACTCCCAATTGACATGACATAACATGACCGTTGTCCGTGGGATGTAGCTTAGTTCCCCCCAGCAAGTGAGCATGCACCCGTATGCCTCCTCATCACTAAACGAGACGGCTTTGCCGCGGCCATGGCCGGGTCCAGGCCAAGGGCTCGCGCGAATTTGCCCCGTGGCTTCAGCTGCGCCTCACGAAGCTCCCGCTTTTAGTACAACCCGGGGCTGCGGAGTTCAGGAAAAGCCCAGCCCAAGCGTGAATAAGCTTCGGCTGTTCTGAGCGTGCCTCCTTCTTGCTATCGTACTCCTCCGGCTTTCCGCCTTTGAACACCACCTGTCTCGTGCTAGACGCTCGCATGACTGCAACACCTCTTCCGGACCACCGTGTTGTGGGAGCCTGAGCATCTGCTTTCATGGAAAATGCCGAAGAATGTCCGCTACAAGTACCAAACATGCCATCAGATGCAAAGTCGGCGCAGTTAGCTCAATAGCATGCTTCCGAACAGGGGGGGGGGGGGTGCGGCACAAAAACATGCTGAAACTGGCACACCACCCCAAGGGTGCTCGCTGTGGGAACTATGCTGTAAGTCTTCGTGGGGCGATTTTTTGAGAAGCCCCTTGTCTTAAAATTCCATTTGCACCGAGGGTCTGTTTGGACAGTTTGCAGAGTTTTCCCATGCCTATGGATTACTTGCACAGGCACTTTCAAGAAACCATGGTGACTGAAGCCACCCAGCCTTTGAATGCCATCCTTAAACCTCAAACGCACAACAAACTTTCAAGTCAACTCGAAGTGTCGCACCTTCTCCCACTTCTTCAGGTGGGATGGCTTCTGCATCCGCTGCGCGATGTGCTAGGGACTTTGGTCTGCAGAGTTCAGGGCCTGAGGCAATTGGACTTCATCTCGCAACGTTGCAACTACATCCTATGTGCGAATCAAAACTCGTTTGATTGAGAAAAACTTGTTAAGATTGTGTTGGGCTGAATGGCCAGCATACGACATTGTCACTCAGGCTACATCTCGAGAAAGGCACCGACTGTCACAGCTGCAAGCTCTGCATGCTAGGGCGTTGAGGTATGCAGTCAGCCCATTCCCGGCAAGCCAAGGCATTCTGTATCAGGCGTGCAAACTTGCAATCTCCAAACACAAGGAAGAGCACTAGAGGATCGCTTCTGGATCGCTTCACTTTGAATGCTACTTTGGCATGGTGACTGGTGTATTGATGCCAAATTTGCAGTGCAATGCTCCCCGAGGCGAGTCGCGAAGATGCGCTCGCATTTCTAAGGCTCAGCCATTTGCGATGCTATTCGATGCTTAGTTGTGTAATCCGCGGTGATGCTCCAAGGCAATGTTACCACCCATCGCCGTTGAGGGGATGCACCGTCGTAGCGCTGCGCCATTTCGCCACTGCGCAGGCTTCACGCGCTCGGGGGATCCGTTTGCTGTTATGACGGCATTCTACTGAGTACTTACTAAACAACGACTGCTACTTCCACTACCAGTCCGTAACTGTATCGAGGTATCTGCTCGGGCGCCGGCCATTGGGTCCGCTGCCCCGATCTGGACTAGCTCCCAAAAGACGCAAAGCGAGGGGCCTGCCACAAAGGTTTTAAATCTTGGTGCCGTAAGGATGTTGTCCCAAGCCAGTCATGTGCATTGGGGTCATTCCCCACCTCGCACGGGTCAGGATTAGTGTGGCCCCAATCTGCTGAATTCATCGAACGCCACAAAGACGAAATAATGCACAATTTCCGCCTCGTAGAAGCCCAGAGGGCGATGTCCGGGCTTGTTTTCTGCCTACCGCCACACGCAGCTGTGCCAGAGACATCTGTTTGTGTGGCTGTGCAGCAAGCGTCCGAAGCCCTCAGAAATCCCCAAACTCTCGCATCACACTTCGACCTGTATGTGATTGCTGACAAGACTCTATTTTGCAACCTCACTCAAAGTTGCTTTGATGTTTTTACTGTCCAGGGCATGAGCCATGTCACGCGGAGGGGGGCTGCTGCTCTGCTGCCACGCGCTCCAAAGAGATGTACTGCGCAGCAGCTTTGACGTCACCGTATATCGGCAGCCCTACTTCACCCTCCTGCTTGCGGCCAAGTCGAAGGGGTGAGGCAACGCAAAGGCCGCCCACCTTTTGTTCAGGCTCCTTCAGCTGTGCGGGGGTCTCCCCCTCGATGTGGTACTCGGTCCGGCGAAGCGGATTTTCAAACCGACTCTAATTGAAAAACAGAAGTCGTCGGATAGAGGCATAGAGGCAAACCTCATACCCCGTCGCGGCATCAGTGTTGTCTTCTTGCGGCTTTGGCAAAAGCCGTGCCAGAAGCAGCCGCATCTGACTCTGGGCTAAGGCTTCTTGGGCATTCTTGGGCGCAAGCCCAATCGCCGCCTTGCAACACCGGCATGGCCTGTCATGACGGGGTCTGAACTTTGGTCCGGCTCAAGGGCCGAAAGGGTCCAACCGATTCCATCCTCTAGCACAGCCTCTAAGCCTGCAAGCATGGCACTCCACGATGCGAGTTGAGAAACAGTGAAACGAGTGGTAACTGCAAGTAGGCTGTAGCTCTGGATCTTCTGCAGCAGGAACGGCTGGCGAAATCGTAAAATAGAGGCTCCAGACTGTCCTGTAGAAGCCTCGCCGTAACCCACTCATCCCGAACTCTGCAAGCTAGTGTCGGCAAGAGCCAGACTTCAAGCCCCATGCAAGATTACCGGCGGAACACAGCACTCCTGGGAGAACCTTCCGAAGAGCCGCACACGCTACCATGACTCAAAAATGAAAGCTCGCAACCAACGGCCTGGCTGGAAACTCCCGAACTGTTGCTGGGGCACGGGCTCTCAGAGTGCCGGGGCGGCTTCCAGGCCAAGGCACGGACGCGTTTGAGCCGCAATGCGAAGATGTCCGATGCCCAGTGCACCACTAGTTCGGGAAGGGATTCGGAAAGATCTGCTTCTAGTGCCCGAATAAGGCAACGGTACTGTGGCACGCTTGGGAATGTGCTCTTGTCAAGGTGTCTACACTCGCTCGGTTGAAAATCAAAGCAAAAAGAGCAGCTCACACACACTGTCGCGGTAGTATTATCCTGGTTTGCTTTTGAGGAGTGTGTGTGTTCTCATCAACTGTTGAGACTCTAGCCATCGTGTGAGAACCTTCGGAGCTTGAGACACAAGGCTTAGCTTCTGAGTGGCTAATAGCACAACAACATCCAGCTGGGTCGTGTTGTTCTTGCATCGGCCTGAGGCTCGAACCTGTGGCACATCCGCCGGTGCAATCCAGCGAACGAATCCACCAAGCTGCTCTGCGTCGAGGTCCTTTTGAATCACCATCATGTCACAGCTTGAAGTTACTGCGAACCCGTGGTTGTCCGCGTATCACGTGTTCGCACTAATGCTTATGCAGATCGTGTAGACTCGGGACACTATGATGATCCCACGAGATCCAACAGGAGAAGTTGGACTACAAAGCCAGAAAGCCGGGAAGCATGCCTTGTCCACGAAGTCCAGGTCGATGACGCGAGAGAACACATCAACGATAGGCCTGAGTGGTACGCCGCAGCCACGATGCTGCCATCCTTGCAACCCTTGCTGCCAGCATGCTTTTCTTCAGTGGCCTTTCTCCTGACATCCCGGTACCTACCAGGCCTCGCCTGAAATCGATCAAGACTGATACCGAGGACACCAGGAATGGTTACACCGTGTACACCCCGCGGTTCCGGCTTCGGCGATGGAGGAAAAGAACTTGTGTAAATTTTGCCAGTGTGAAGAATTTGCTCACAATGCTGGGTCCCAGCATGTCGCAACAGAGGTTTGCGTTTGTGCAAGGGTTTAGGTTAACCCTCAAACCACACACACCGCAGGCACAGGCTACTTATTTTACTCACCTTGTGCCAAAAGGGGCTACCAAGTACAGCTATACAACGGCAGTAGTCAGAACATGCTTTATATCCTGACACCCCTCCATGGCCAGCTGAATCCTTGAGCTGGACAGCTGACCTGCACTACTCACGGGTTGCAGTCTGTACAAGGACCAAAGCCTCTTTGCGTAGCCTCAGCCCTCTGCAACGTGTACGGGTTTTGGCCCAGGTGTCTACAGTGTCTCCTATGAAACTTCTTGCCCTTACGGGTGACGTAGACGGGGCTACCCGCATTCGCCTCTAGACCTCGTCGGTCCATGCGGCCTCCAGCTGTAGGGGCCGGCTTCGTTGAAACACGTGGCGTGGTCCACCACACAAACGCAAACTTGATCCATCGCCAAATGGTCTGGATCGCCAAGATATGGATGATCAGCATGTAGATGAAGAAGGAAACGTCTTCAGTCTCGAGCTGGCGCTCCTTCGGCTGCCCCGTAGCCACGCCAAAGGACGCGAACAGGCACGCCATGACCAAGCCCCTTGTGAGAGGCATGCCCTTGACTAGCTCTGTCACTCTTGAGCCTGAAAGAGCTTTCGTCCCCAAGTCGGCCCAGTTGCTCTTCGTAGGTTCCTTCTGCACCGTAAGCTGCTTTCTCTGAACACAGTCCTGTATCCAAAGCTCCTTCATGGACAAGTGCTTCACCTTGCCCGAGCCCTTGCGTGTCGCGATTCCCTTCGCTGCGCTCGAATCGGTTCTCAGGGTAAGCTTCAAACCCTTAAACCCAATCCGTTCCCAGATCTGCGCTGTCAGCAGTCCGGCGGCAGCTCCTCGCACCAACGCGTAAAACTCAGCCTCTCCAGAGCTGAGCGCTATCACCGATTGCTTGGCACACGAAGCATCGATGAGATGCTTCCCAAATCTCTCAGCGTAGCTGGACATAGACTTGCGCGTGCGCTTGCACGCTCCCCAGTCCGAGTCCGTAAGCACCACAGCTTCCTCAGGCTGCTCCTGGTACTCGTAGTGCCAAACTTCCTTCGGGTACTTCAGAAGGTAACGGCCTAGGTGCTTGAGCTTGAGCTCGTGTTCAACCGTAGGCTTTGCCATGCCAGAGGTGATCTCCGACAAGGCATACTGGATCGTCGGGCGATCCTGGGACAGGTAAAGTGCAGTACCAGCGAGTCTCCGGAACTTCGCTGCAGCCTCAGCGTCCAAAGGATCTTCGAGATCCCTGCGGCCTTTCCCACATTCCGTAGAACACGGGGCGTCTGCGCTCTTAGCGTCCGTAAGCCCGAGCTCCTCAACGATCTGCCGCGAGTACTTAGGATCAGCTTCCCAAGTGAACCCGCGCTCGCTCCATCGAATGATGCGGTGCAGATGATCGCCATGCGTGGTCTGGCCTCCGAACTCCTCAGGGCCAATCCGTGGCAATATCTTGCTCTCAAAGGATTGCATCATCAGCGCATCCAGTCGATCCAGATCGTCGCTTTCGCCCTCAGCGATAAAGTCGTCGCCGTGGCAGCTCAAGGTCACGCACCACTCGTCGTGGTAGAAGAGGCCAGGGATTCCTGGAACCTCCCAGAAACCTGCCTCCGTCATGACCTCACACACGCGCTTTGACCACTGTCGCGAAGCCTCACGTGTGCCATTCATGGCTTTGAGCAAGTACCAGAGCTTCGATTGATCGAGATCTTTCGGAGGGACGACCGCAATTTTGCCCGTGGCCACCGCATGAAAGAAGGCAACAGAAACATCATACCGGGCAATAAGCTTGCGCCGGTTGGTCCTGCCAGCCTTTGCAGTGGCTGCAGCTGAAAGTACCATGCGGTGCGTCCGCAACGGCGGTGTTCCACTGAAAACGTCGTCGCGCTCGTGGTCGTTGATCTCTTGGGCTACGCAGCGGCTGCGCACCCCATTTGGATCATTGGGCAATGGTTTCCAACCATCCACCCACCGGCTTCGGACTATCTTTAGCCCCTGCCGTCGCGCCTCCTCCCAAGAGATGTCCTTCTTGACAGAGTGTTCCTCCATCTTGTCCAGCTCGCGCCCTCTTGCAGTCTTGACCTTGTCAACGGGAAGGGGCTGGCCTGTTCGCTCGTCGTAGGCACCAAGCTCCTCCACTCTGCCGTCCAGAGGGTAAGCAAACAAAGGCTCCCACTCGCCTTTCTCGTGGAGCGTGGGCAGTCCCCCCATCAACTCCTGGTCCTCAAGAGGACGCTTTTCACCTCTTGCTTCTGGCGTCTTCTGCTTCTTCGCTCCCTGCGAGCTCTTTCCAGTAACGCGGCGCTGCCCGCTGTCACTTGAAGGAGCGGGGACACCCGCATCCTCAACCTCTCGCTTCTGGCCTGACTTAGCCTCAGAGGTCCCCTCCATGGCCCTTGGCCTTGAAGGCTGACTCGGCTCGGTGCTTCCCGACTCCAAGTCTTGGCCGGTGCCCTGGGGCATCTCGGCCTGACCTCCTTCAGTCTCCATGGGTCCCGCAGGCGTCCCAGGGATTGGTGTACCAGGCGTGCCTGGCACCGGTTGTCTCGGGTACAACTTCTCGAACCTCTTACGGCACTCGTCGTTGTGCCGCTTTGGGTTGTCGTCATTACACTCACAGCCAGGACATCCAGGTGTCTTGCCGTGCTTGATCTGACGCTCCAAGGTGATATACACCGAGGGCTGCCTGCGACCTGGAGTCGCTGGGGCCTTGTTGTCTGAAGGCACGGTGGTTGGCTCTCCGCGCGGTTGCCAGGGAAGCCCAACCATCCCCTCGAGGTGTTTCAGCTCCCACCTCTTCTCTTCTGGCCTTCGCCAGATGCTTCTGCACCGACGGATCCCCTGAGCAGTGCCCAGGAAGTGCTCGTCGGAGGCAAGAGACTTGCCTAGCCAAACTCCAACTGACGTTTGCTTGTCCAGCTTGCCAGTCTTCTCTTTGTCAAGCTTGTAGTGCACGACCTCGCAGCACTCAGCAACTTCACCGCGGAAGTCCCGGCCTCGAAGCCTTTCGTAAGGTGTTCTCCCGTCCTGCTTCACCAAGAAACGGGAGATGAGCCACCCTGCGTGCCGCACCAACCACGGAAAGACAACCCCCTCAGTCTCCAGGGGCTTCTTGTAGCGATTCTCCAGCGCGCTCGCAAGAGTTCGCACCTGACGCGCCAGCTCCAAAATGGCTCGCTCGGCCGCGCCGTTAGATGCGTGAGAACCTTTCGGTGCAGTCTGGTGCTGCACGCTGCCAGTCCAGGACTTGGCGGCACTTTCAGCAAGTGCCCGGATGCTATGCTCAGCATCGCTCATCATGATGACCTTTTGGCGCCCGCAGAACTTGAGCGCTTCAGTCACCAATCCAGTGGCATACGGGTTAACGCCCTTAGCCACCACACCAGAGAAAACACAACCGGACTTTTCGTCCACGATCACCAGAATGGGAAGGAGACCATCCTTCTCATCCTGAGGCACCTTGACCTCCTCCACGGAGTTCACTGGGCCCTTCAAGGCCCGTCCCAGAAAACAGTAGTCCAGGGAGATGCGCGCCACCTCCGACGCGCGACCGCTGGGCTCCCGAGCTGAGTGCGCATCCTCACGCACCTTGCCGTGCATGCAGTGATCGCACCAGCTTCGCATGGGCAGATGCGTAAGCATATGCTCGTCAAACTCGGCTTTGCTAACCGTGTCCGGGATCTTCTTTGTCTTCGGCCGCCGCGTGGCCTCAGACACTTCCATTGGCACGTCGCCAATCTCCGGAAGCCTCTGGGCGGGGCCACCCGCGCCAGGGCCGTCAGTAGAACTCCCTGCACCGGCGGAGTTACCCGCACCAGGGTTGGCAGCGGAACTCCCCGCATCGGCGGGGCCGCCCGCACTTGAGCTTTGGCCAGGCTGAGCGGAGTCACCCGCTTCACCAGGCTCCTCGCCTTCACCTGCCAGCGCCTTTGCTGGCACCGTCTTCTTAGCAGCCCTCGTAGCTGCTAACACGTCTGGGTCTTCAACCCTTTCACTTTCTTTCACCACGTTCACTGGGAGCCAAAATACCCCTCTCTTCTTTCTGAGTTGCATCGTGTCTTTGGTCTCTCCTAGGGCTTTCCTAAGCTTACACGCATGCTTATCTAGAACCATACACTGCACACCGGGGCCAATCACCGTCCAGGTGCCTTTCGTGGCCGCTTGGCCAGCAGAAAGCACCGAAAACCTAACCTTTTCAGACTCGGCGTACTCTACCGAAAAGGTCCCAGCACTGGTTTCGAGCTGGCTCCTAAGCCTCTGGTCGCTAGCCAAGGGCTCACCCGTAACGGTAACCATTCCAGGCCCCGAAACACGAGAACCCAACAAAGCACCGGAGTCAAACCCTTTCCGAAACAGGTGAGACCCTGCCCCCGTATCTACAAGAACCTCGGTCTCACTGGCCTCGGTGCTGGGCGTTGCCGCCACCACACCAAAGCAAAGGTCCGGCTCCTGAGGCGATGCAGACATGGGCTCTGGTTCCTCCTCGCCCTCAGCGGGGCTAGCCGCATGAGGTGTGCGGTTCTTCCCGCCACCTTTTGCTTTAGCTTTGGGCTTGGCTTTGGCATCGGCTTGTTTCTTGCGACACTCGGCTTCTACATGCCCTTTCTTATGGCAGTACCAACACTCACGGTCCTTGTTGGGGTTTGCGCCTTGGGGCTTTTGCTTGTCTGAGCCTTGGCCTTTACCCCCTTTGTCGCCTTTGCCTTTGCCTTTGTCTTTGCCCTTGCCCTTCTCTTTGCCCTTTTTCCACGGTGCAGCTCCAAGGTCCATAGGCTGCGGGAGATTCTGCAGGACGCGGTTGGTCCTCGAAATCTCCAAAAGTTCCGCCTTCACATCCGTAAAGGATTTGAGCCGGCTTGAGTTCCGGATGATGTGGCTTTGCAGGCTGCTGTCCTTTAGTCCATTCACCACAATGCCCAAAAGCATCTCCTCATCCAGTGTTTTGCCGCTCTCCTGTTCATACCTCCGGACGCTCTTTTCGAAGGCCGCTAAGTCCCCCTCAACATCATCACCAAACTTGCTTGAAAGCAACGTTGTGAGAGTGCCCACATAGCGTGACGCAACCCTCGGGTGGAACTCCTCAAAGATGCGCCGGTAGGATTCAAGACCTTCTCCGAGGCCCGTGTTGTAAGTGATGTCAAGCGGCCTACCGCGCAGGAGCATCACCAAGATATAATAGAGTTGGCAAGAAAGGTCCCGGTCCACATCCGAAAGAGCCCTGTTTGGGAAGCTCTTCTTGGAAAACTTTGCTTGCTCCAGCAGGTCAATGTACCTCGAGTCGATGCAGCTAAGGTAAGACTCAAAGATGAACGACCAGTCACTGAAGCTTTCCTCCGTGGACCCTTTGAAAACCTCGGGCTTCCCGAGTTGCCTGGTGTCTACCAGGCCGGCCCTTGGGGCCGGTGGATGGCTTGGGCCCGGCATGTCGGTATCGAAGGTGCTCTGCCTTCCCCGGGCTGCCAATCCTGACGCTTGCAGCTGCAACAGCTGGGCCTCCTGAGTCACCAGCCTGTTGTTCATTTGCTGCAGCATCAGGTTAGTTTGCTGCAACTGCTGCTGGAGCTGTTGCTCCAGCGGAACCTGGCCCGCCTGTTGGGCCATCTGGGGAGCTTGGGGGGTCCCAATCAACCCCGCTTCCATCTCCATCCGAGCTCTCACTGCTCTCCTCGTCCTCCGTCAGGAGAGGAGCTGATGTGGCCTTTGGTTTGGCCTTGCTCTTTCGAGCGGTCCCCTTTGGTCGGGGCTCGGTGCGGTGCCGATTGGCCTCCGCAACCCTTTGGGCCAATGCCTTAGGAGAAAACCTCCTAAGCACGTAGTTGCGCACAGCCGGGGCGGCCTTGCGACGCCTGGTCCTGCAGGTACTGCAAGCTTCGCCGACCCGCTGCCTAAGCAATACCTCGCCCACACTGCCCTTAGGAAGCCTCTTCCTGATCGCCTCCTGGGTCTCCACTCTCTCTCGGAACCTCTGCTGCGCAAAGCGAGCGGATTGCTCGGTCAGGAACTCCTCTAAGTCCCTCTTGCGCCCCGAAGCCTGCGTGCTTCGTGTCGGCGCTACCGACCTCAGGACCCGATTTGCCTGAGCCTCCCGAGGAACCGATCGAAGGTCGAGGCGGCTCCTTTCCTTCCTTCGTCGCCTCTCCTTCTTCCACTTGATCTTCTCGTACCCAGCCTCTGTCTGCCTGGGCTTCCTTGGTTGGCTCTTGGCCGCGGTCGTCCCGAGGATCCGGTCTCGCTCCTGAGCCTCCTCAAGGCTATAAGTTAGAACCACCCGCCTCGGAGTACGACCTCGGCCCCTTGCCTCAGCTGACCCCCGGGCCGAGGGATCAGCGGCTGCCCTGTGGCTTCTTAGTGGCTCCTGCCGCTCCTCAGCGGCTGCAAGCCTTCTGGCCTGCCCGCGGTCCTGCCTCCTAGAGGTGGCCGCTTCACTTCTTTTCCCCCTCTTGTTCTTCTTCTTGGTCACCGGCTTTCCTTTGCCGCGACCTCGACCCGCCGTCTTGGCGGTCTACCTGCTGCCTAAGCAGCACTCGGGAGGACTATGCTCCCACACCAGCGCGGATCGGCCCGCAGCTGGTTCCTGTGACGCGGGACTTCCCGCGGTCACGTGTGGTGCGGGGCTGACCCGCAACCACCAGGGAGCGGGGCTTGCCCGCGTCCCTTACCTTCGCGGGGCGACCCGCAGAAGGTGAGCACGGAGTCCCTTAGACGTCCGGCTCCGCTACCATGCAAGGGTTTAGGTTAACCCTCAAACCACACACACCGCAGGCACAGGCTACTTATTTTACTCACCTTGTGCCAAAAGGGGCTACCAAGTACAGCTATACAACGGCAGTAGTCAGAACATGCTTTATATCCTGACAGTTTGGCGAAGCTTGCGATGCAGAATGGCCAGGCCTTCACAACCGCTGCCATCCCGCATACCAAACTTGCAGCGTCCACCCAACTTCTGTGACAAGCACTCCGCAGTTGCAGCCAACCCACACTGCTTCTGGGATGGAGGATTCCCCGAAGTCCGACCTGACAAATTTGGAGACTGCCGTTAATCTTCAACTCGCTACGATGTCTCCCACTGTCTCTAACCATCACATCGATGAGCCGTACAGTTTGATACTTGAAAGTTTCCCCAATAGCTTCTGGTCCGGTCTGATGATGAGGGTTGCTTTGCAGATCGCTTGTGCTTGTAACTTCGGCCTTGGGGCACCCTACATATATCACTTGAGAAGCGCACACAAGCTTCGGCAATTCGAATGCGTGGTTGAGCAAGAATTAAAGCCCAAAGGATGTCGAAGCGACAGTTCCGGCAGCCTTGGCAGCTACTGGTACTGGCAGCAATAGTACATATTCATACTGCATGCCGCTTAAGGCCTGCAGGTAAGCAACATTTCAACCAAAGGCATGCCAAAGAGAGAGCCTTGTGTAGACCAGCACGTGGGTGTAGTTTCCAAAGGGAAATCGGCTGAGATGTCCAAGGAGTTGGCCCCAACCTTGTGTAAGTGTCTCTTGCACTTTCAGGAGCTAGCAGTAACCAGCTAGCAGCAGCTAGCATCGCCCCCCTCATTGGCAGTCCGGGGTCCAGGACAACATAAAATTCGGAGGAACTGTGGTTACACTGTAACGTCACGGCAAGTTTCAACACCTCGGCTCAAGCTTCAGAGCTGCAAATAGAGTCCCCAAGCTCCGAACGGCCAGGTAGAGCACATAGCCTGCCCGTGCACGTCACTGCATTCATACTCGGCTAGCATCTGAAGCTGACTTGGCGTGGAGCTGGAAAGGGAGCACTACCGTCTGAGGCGTGGAAGGGCATCTGTGGCCTTCCCGACCTGTGACCTGTCTTCACTGCATTCCGTAGGAATTGCGCAAAGACTCTGTAACTCCGCAGGTCCCCAACGTGCACGGGAACTACTGCGTTTCGAGATCTTCTGCTGTGCCTTCCAAAACTCCAGGATCTTCTGGCGGCGTCCAGCTCACCTCAGCATGCTTTCTCGCAGAATCTCCAGTCAGTAGTCGCGACTGCTGCGTGAACGGCTGTCCGACTCTCCGGCCACAGTTTGCCTTGCTTTGCCAAATCTTCAGTACGTGACCGACGCATACAACACCTAAACATCAAGACAAAGCCCAACAAGCAACTTCGTCCTGAACCAATCCCAAACAACCGTACCCTCCTCCGTCGAACACACATGCACAGAATCACAGCTTCACCTTCCCACCAATCTCCCAGTCGTCCGGGTCTTGATCCAGGAAGGAAAGGTCCCGAACCTCCGGTGGTTCTTGTTCGAATCTTACGAACAGAAATCGGGGACCCCGGCACCAAGAATGGTGTTCAAGGGAATGTCAAGCCTCATGGCTTTGCCCGAGTATTTAAAACTGAACCCTCAGCTTCGGACCATTTCAGACTTGCTACGCTCCAGTGTGATCCATGGTTTCAGTCACACGTCTCTTAAAGGCGTGGGAGCCTCTCCCGCTTCCCGTGTTAAACATGCTAGAGTGGCTTCTCGGTCCCTTGCTCTGACAACCGCAGTTGACACGTGCCAGGAAACGTAGTCGCGTTCTAGTTGGGATGTGTCGAACCCGGAAACAGCCAGTCGCCAGCCATAGACTGTGGGGCGGGCACAGGCGTAGCGACGGCGGGTGCAGGTGCCGTTCCCACCAAAGATCTTCCTGCACTGTTCGGAGACAGTCTGTCGTCGTAAGAGCAATATGCAACACGATTTGGCTGGGTTGTCCTCCTTAGCTGAGTATGAAGTGCATATCTGCAGGCAGGCTGTGAGATTGAGAGCGACTGGTAGCGGCATCTGCCAAACAGACGCAAGGGCACCGCAGCAGTCAGCATGCAAGGCACAAACAGCAACTTAATCACTGCCGGCTGAACTTCGTACTCCGCACATCGATGCATGTTCCGAAGAGTGTTGAAGCACGGCCGAGCTCGGACAATTTTACAATGTCAAAGACAGTGGCAGCTACAGGACTCCGGGGAACGCTGAGCAATCACCGGACAGCTATAGCTGGCACCTGAGGACCTAAGTCTTTCGTGCTCGCACCAAGCACAGCCTGGGGCCCGTCTCCTTGGGCCAGTCGGTCTTGCGGCTAAAGGTCTGGAAGCAACAGTCACTCACAACAGTCCGTCTGTTTCAACAACCCAATTTGTTGCAAAACTTCGACCTGCTCGTTGGGGATGTGCCTTCTCTTTGTTGCAGAGTCCCGAAGGCTTCGGTGCCCAGGGTTTCAGCCCCGGCCACCTCGACTTACACGCTTCAACGCATGTCATGATTGTGACAGTCCGGCAGCCGTGCAAACTGCAGATGTTCACTCTGTTCAGCGGGCAAGCAGTGCACGATGCTTGCGGAGCATGAATAGAAACACCTCAACTCGTGAGCCTGCAACAGTCGAAAACCACCGTCGAGACAGGAGGTCATGATCGGGAACGCCTTAACTAATGAGTCGATCTGACGAGCTCTTCCGAACGCCGAACACCCTGTCCTGTTCCAGTGGCGGTGGCGGACAGGTACACAGCCTGTCTTAGATCGCATCCGTGAAGCAACCAAACGCATGAACACTTTACGGTAGGGCTCCAAGGAAATCCTATGCCCACTGATTAGATTACACATGAAGTCGTGCGTAAATATATACCAGAACTTAAACTTGCATCAAGCACGTCCTTAGGAGGGTGGAGGAAACACTGCTGGTTGATCGAGCCACTACGGCATAGCCAAGAAAGGGCAGACCCTGCATGATCCTGCACGGAAGACTCCCGACAGTCCCAAATCCCGCCATGAAATTGACCTCCCGCACAGGCTATCCTGTTGCGATCAGGCAGAGCAAGTACCCCACAGGTTCACCCACATACCAAACACGACGAGGGCGGCATAAAGAACCACCTGTGCAAGATCCTGGCTTCACGGGCGGCGCATAGCACTCCACATCCGAGACTGGGCTCAGGGCAAGTCAAAGTAACACAGCGGATGTGCAATCGAAGCAACTGTCTGCTGGGAATCCTCTGCAGTGGCTATTGGGTTCGTGGGGCAGTGCACTCGGGAGCCTGCACTCGCGAGCGCTGTCATGCATGGATCGATTCTAGATCGTCGAAAGAGATGTCTGAGGCTCTAGGGCGAACTGTCGAGCCACTCTTCGTCCGCCTCGCCTCCGGTGCAGAGCGTACGCCGGGTAACCCCTATACCCCCCGTGGGGTTGCTGACGGGCGGAGGTTGCTGACGGGCGGAGGGGCGGACCCGACCAGAGGGGGGGGGGGGTAGTTAGATAGATAGTTAGTATCTGACGGGCGGAAACCCGCCACGCGCCGGCGGAAACCTCTAACCTCTAACCCGTGGGTACTTGACGGAGATAGTTAGTATCTGACGAGCGGAACTCGTGATTACTTGACGGAGATACAGGGTTGAGCTGTACGACTTTGGCTTGAACCAAAAAGTTCAGTCGCAACTTAGAAAGGTTGCGTTGCCGAGAGCACGTTTTCGTGCCGTCAAGTTGACTTGGACTGACAATCCACTACGCACGTGAACAACATCGAATGCCTCCAAGCCCAATCCCTTTGCTTCCTATCTCTCCTGCTTGGATGATCTCGGAGCACAAGCCCATGAAAGTGCTTGCCACGACATGCCAGCACAAGCTTGTCTTAGCTATGTTGAAGCTTTCGCTGCCCACTTGCGCAGTGCATTTCAGGTGCGCTTCAGATTCTTGGCGTTTGGCAACATGGTGCATTGCAGGTGCGTGTCAGGTGCATGTCAGGTGTGCTTCAGCGTGGTCGGCGATTGTGGTCGACAGGGTCCTGGCCGTCGGTTGGTTCGGAACCCCCAGGATAGGTTGCTAAGGCTTGTAGGCCTAAAGTCACGGTTAAAGTCGGGTAGACGAAGACGGCCATTCCATGAGGACCAGCAGCTGAACCAAGGGGACCAACAGCGCAGTCAGAGATCACTTTCCAAGCTGATGCCGTGGATTGCTTCTCCTGAACCCCCAGGACAGGACCACAAGTCTTAGCAAGCAATTGTCGGGGTTAAAAAAGAGCATGCGGACAACTGGCTCCAGCAATGCAAGTTATGGCTGCAAGTAGCAGCCACAAACTGAGCGCTGCAGCAGACACAATCAAACCCCCAGAATAGGACCACAAGCCTTAGCAACATATCCTGGGGGTTCGCGACAAGCAGCCCCCAGCATCAATTTTGTTAGTCATCTCTGACTCCGCTGTTGGTCCCCTTGGTTCAGCAGCTGGTCCTCATGGAATGGCCGTCTTCGTCTACCCGACTTTAACCGTGACTTTAGGCCTACAAGCCTTAGCAACCTATCCTGGGGGTTCCGAACCAACCGACGGCCAGGACCCTGTCGACCACAATCGCCGACCACGCTGAAGCGCACCTGAAATGCACCTGAAACGCACCTGCAATGCACCATATTGCCAAATGCCAAGAATCTGAAGCGCACCTGAAACGCACCCCAAAGGCACCTGAAATGCACTGCACAAGTGGGCAGCGAAAGCTTCAACATAGCTAAGACAAGCTTGTGCTGGCATGTCGTGGCATGCTCCCTGATGCCATCACACAGCAGGATGCGAAGCAAAGACATAACATAGGCTTGTAGCTAGTGGTGTGCACGCACACTTTTGTTGCCAACGGTGGTCGTGGTGGATTTTACGTTGTGTGGCATCTTGCCTGCCAGTTGCTTGGCCAAAACTTGACAATCGAAACGTCACAAAAAGGTTTCACCACTTCCTCCAAAAAGGCTTACAGCTCAACCCTGAGATAGATAGTAAGTATCTGACGGGCGGAGGTTGCTGACGGCCCGGAGGTAGCTGACGCGCGGAGAGTGGGTAGCTGACGGGCGGAGGTTGCTGACGGGCGGAGGGTGGGTAGCTGACGGGCGGAGGTTGCTGACGCGAGGGGGGTGGGTAGCTGACGGGGCAGAGATTGCTGGCGCGGGGGGTGGGTAGCTGACGGGCGGAGGTTGGGCGGGTAGCTGATGGGCGCAGGTTGCTGACGCATGGGGGCGGGTAGCTGACGGGCGGAGGTTGCTGACGCGCGGAAGGTGGGTAGCGGACGGGTGGAGGTTGCTGACGGGCGGAGGGTGGGTAGCTGCCGGGCGAAGGTTGGACAGAAACCTTTAACCTCTAACCCGTGCGTACCTGACGGAGATAGATAGTATCTGACGGGCGACCTCTGACCCGTGGGTACCTGACGGAGATAGATAGTATCTGACGGGCGGAAACCTCTAACCTCTAACCAGCAGGTAACCGAAGGGGGGTTAGAGTAAGAGGTTAGGTGAGGTACATGATGCTCCGGTGGTTCCCAGGACGCTTGTCCACCGACTTCTGACCCGTCCAAGTCCTAGCTTTGCTTCCATTGGAAGAGCCCCTACATTCTACCGTCTGCGACAAGTGTGGTGCACTACGCATTCACAGGGAAGTGAGTCTGTGATCAGAAGCTTCGAGAGGCGACAACTCCACAGTAAACCATGCCATCATGGCGAGGATCGACAATCCACGCAGCGAATGAGGCTCGTTCAAAAAAATGCAATTGGCCTTGTCTACGAACTGGAGCTGCGAGACCGGAGCAAACGTGTCCTGCACAGAAAGCACACGACTCTCGTGCAAAATGTCCGGAGTATGCCAAGCACGAAGCAAGTGGTTCTGTGGCTTCACCCCGAAAGCTCGATGCACACCCGATTGAACCGAGGTCACGGCAGAAACCTTAGGACCTTAGGCTGCGGGGGTGGTCTGCTCCGCTAGCGACGAGCGGGTGTAGACCTGAGCACGTCTGCAAAACGCTCATAATTATGCGGGCAAGTCAGGGAAGTCTAAGTTGAATGCGTCGCAGACTGACAGCGAGAGAGACAGAGAGACAGAGAAGAGAGAGAGAGAGAAACAAAAAGAAAGAGCGACCGAGCGAAAGCGAGCCGCGAGCCGCGAGAGCGGAAGAGAGCGAGCGAGAGAGAGAGAGAGAGAAAAAAAAAAAGAAACGAAAGAGAGACAGAGAGACAGAGAGACAGAAAGAGTCAGCGAGTTGGAGTGTTGTCCAAAACTTTGCTGGATGCACATCACTCCTACATAATCTTACATACCACTAATGCCAAAGCAGACAAAGCCAAAGCACTCAGTGAATCCAGTGCTCGCTGCATTTGATGCTTTGCTGTCGCGATCCAAAGAACATGCGATGTTATCTGCTCCCTCCTAGCTGCTCCTTGTATCTGAGATCCCCATCGAATTGCGTAGTGTATGTTGCCACAGCACACCAAGCATGCAAACAACAAAAACAAATCACCAGCGCCTGTAAACGACAGGCATGCCCCTGCCAAAGCGGCGGTGTCTCAAATGCCCCTGGACAGTTCCTTAAGCCAAGGGAAGTGCCAGGAGGTACTGGAAGCTCTGCAGCGGCAGGTTCTCGGGCACAAGGATGGAGGTCAGCTCGACCTCAAAGACTTAGTGCTTGAGAGGACAGCCGAACGCGTCCGTCTGAACGTCAGTGTGCACAGGCTTTGCTCCCCTACGAATACCCTGAACTCAACGCTGTTAGGCCCCTGAGAGCTCTTCACCATACGTTGAGCGGGTGACGGGTAAGAAGCCGCCCACTGCTTGCCGTCCCCGGGAGTTGATTGGCAAGGTACACCTGGCTGTTGCTGCTTCGATGACTGTTTCTGATGGCACCTCTCCATAGTAACCCATTGTCGAAAGCGAGGACTTGCGGGCACAAACTGGCCTGAAAGAACCTGGGTGCCTCCTGCTTTGAACTTTGGCACGGACAATCAGCAACCATAAACATATCCCCTGTGCTGCTTGTGATGAAGCTCTCAAGTCTCAAACCAAAGAGAATGAACTACGACAGACCTGAAGGAAGCGGTCTGCGAACCGCTTCGAGAACTGGCCAAGTTTGATGACAAGATCCGCAAGCTCGAGTTCTGGCTCTTCTGGCTGCAAACTTTCATGCCGGGCCTGGTAGCCCAGAACATAGCCTGAGAAGCAAAACTAGCGCAAAGCGACAGCACAGCGTCAAACCAACCCGCGACATTGAAAGACTCTTCTGCCCTTTTGCCACCTGGGGCCTTCATGCTCCGAAACTCAATCAACCGCTCAATTTCCACCCCTCCTGTTGGCCCAGTGACGACTGTCGTTTGCAGGATTCCAGGAAGCGTTTTCGCCAACAAGGTCCTGCGAGTCTAACAGTTGGTTCCGAAGCCTTCAAGCTCTCCTAAACCGCGAATGCGCTAGCACTGACCCAACCTTGACCTTTAAGCGCTTGATGAGCAAGCCTGAATGCAAGAGGCGGACCTGGAGGCAAAAGTCCGTCCCGGCCTCGTCCAGGAAGGTCAAATCCTCGATCCGCGACTCTGTGTCAACCAGCTCCGTGGAATCCGGTGTCGTCTGCCCAGATCGCGCTAAGTGCTAACTCGCTCACATCCCCTCCACTCGACCTGGTCTCATCAAGCCTCCCTGCGGAATCACAGCTTGCACTACCTTTAGAACGGATGAATGCATAGCGCACCCATCGGAATCTCCGTCTTTCTGTTCGTCAG